GGACGAAGGAGGAGGAGGCAGGAAGACGAGGACGAGGAGGAGTAGGAGGAGGAGGAGGAGGAGGAGGAGGAGGACTACGACGGCCTATAGCGGCTCCTCCACGGGACGTGCCGCCACAGGCACGTATCGCGTTCCTCGAGCGCCACGCCCATGGGCACCGGCGACTCGTCCGTGCTGCGCGCCAGGCCCAGGGGACGGATAAATGCTCGTCTTTCGATCAGGTCGGGCTTGGCACTGATGGAGAGGATGGGCGAGGATAAGGCGGGGGAGGAGGAGGAGAAGGAGGAGGAGGAGGAGGAAGAGGAGGACGAGGAGGAGGAGGAGGAGATGGAAGGAGGAGGAGGAGGGAGGAGGAGAGGAGGAGGAGGAGGAGGAGGAGGAGGAGGAGGAGGGAAGACAAGGAGGAAGAGGAGGAGGAGGATGAGGAGGAGGAGGAGGAGGAGGAGGAGGAGGAGGAGGAGGAGGAGGAGGATGACGAGGAGGAGGGGTGGGAGTGGGAGTGGGAGTGGGAGGAGGAGGAGAAGGAGGAGGAGGAGGAGGAGATGGAGGGGTGGAGGGAGGCATGATGAGAGGGAGGGAGGGAGGGATGATGATGATGCTGCTGATGATGATGCTGATGACGAGGAGGAGGAGGAGGAGGAGGAGAAGGAGGAGGAGGAGGGATGAGGAGGAGGATGAGGAGGGTCATGGAGGATGATGAGGAGGAGCAGGAGGAGGTTGATGAGATGTTGCTGTTGCTGCTGATGACGAGGATGAGATGAAGATGAGGATGCTGCTGCTGCTGATGACGATGATGTTGATGGTGCTGATAATGCTGATGATGATCATGTTGATGATGCTGATGCTGATGATGGCGGTGGTGGTGGTGGTGGTGGTGGTGGAGATGATGATACTGATGGTGCTAATGCTGCTGCTGATGATGCTGATGCTGATGCTGATGATGAGGATAATGCTGATGCTGATACTGATGATGATACTGCTGATGATGATGATGAATATGATGAGGATACTTATGTTGGCGATGATGACGATGCTGCTGCTGCTGCTGATGATGATGATGACGGTGGTGGTGGTGATGATGATAATGAGGAGAGGAGGAGGACGAGGAGGAGGAGGAGGAGAAGGAGGAGGAGGAGAGGAGGGCGAGAAGTAGGAGGGGAAGGGGGAGATGGACCAGCAGGTAGGAGGGGGAGGAATCTGATGATGATGCTGATGATGATGCTGATGATGATGACGACGATGATGATGGTGATGGTGATGCCGATGATGATGCTGACGATGTTGATGTTGATGATGACGACAAGGATGATGATGATGCTGATGATGATACTGCTGATGGTGCTGATGCTGATTATGATGATGATGCTGATGATGATGATACCGATGATGATAATGATAATGATGATGATGATGATGCTGCTGATGATGATGATGATGATGATGATGATGAGGGTGATGATGATGATGATGATGCTTCTGATGATGATGATGATTAGGATGCTGAGTCTGCTGCTGATAATGATGATGCTGACGCTGCTAGTGATGATGAAGATGATTATGATGATGATGCTGATGATGATGATGATGATGACGATGACGATGACGATGACGATGATGATGCTGCTGATGACGATGCTGATGCTGATGATGCTGATGATGATGACGACGATGATGATGGTGATGCTGATGCCGATGATGATGCTGATGATGTTGATGTTGATGATGACGATACGGATGATGATGATGCTGCTGATGATGATACTGCTGATGATGCTGATGCTGATTATGCTGATGATGATGCTGATGATGATACCGATGATGATACTGATGATGATGATGAGGATGATGATGATGCGTCTGATGGTGATGATGATGCTGATGATGATGATGATGATGATGATGATGTTGATGTTGTTGATGATGATGATGCTGATGATGATGATTATGATGATTAGGATGCTGAGTCTGCTGCTGATAATGATGATGCTGACGCTGCTAATGATGAGGATGCTTATGATGATGATGATGATGATGATGATGATGATGATGATGATGATGATGATGATGATGATGATGATGATGATGACGATGACGATGACGATGACGATGATGATGAGGCTGATGCTGATGCTGCTGCTGCTGATGATGATGATGATGCTGATGCTGATGCTGATGCTGATGATGACGATGATTGTGGTGATGGTGATGATGATGATGATGCTGATGTTGATGCTGATGCTGATGCTGATGCTGCTGATGATGAGGAGGAGGAGAAGAAGAATGAGGAGGAGCAGGAGGAGGAGGAGAAGGAGGAGGAGGAGGCGGAGGAGGAGGAGGAGGAGGAGGAGGAGGAGAACGGGAGGAGGAGGATATGGAGGTTGGAGTAGGCAGGCAGGTAGGAGCATGAAGGAGAAGTTCAGGAGGTCCTCCTCCTTCTCCTCCGCAGCCGTTTTGGCTCAAGAAGTCTCGGCTTGTTGCGCGCGCGTCTCATCCTTCTCGGTACCTCTGTGGTCCCGGAGGACCTTCTTCGTTTGAGGAAGCGATGGCCGTGAAGATGGGCATCAATGGCTTCGGCCGCATTGGCCGCTTGGTCGCTCGTGCAGGCATCGAGAACCAGAACGTCACTGTCTGCGCGATCAACGACCCGTTCATGGACCTGGAGTATATGAAGTACATGCTTAAGTACGACTCCGTCCACAAGTCATTCGATGGTACCATTGTCACCAAGAAGGAGGGCGGCAACGAGTACCTCGTCTGCAACGGCCTGCCCATTCAGGTCTTCCACGAGAAGGACCCCGCGTCGATCCCGTGGGGAGTGGCAGGCGCCGCGTACGTGTGCGAGTCGACCGGCGTCTTCACCACGCAGGAGAAGGCCGAGCTGCACATCAAGGGCGGTGCCAAGAAGGTCATCATCTCCGCGCCTCCGAAAGACGGCGTCCCCATGTTCGTTATGGGCGTCAACCACAAGGAGTACAAGAAGGAACACACAGTGGTATCGAACGCCTCCTGCACTACCAACTGCCTCGCACCGCTGGCAAAGGTCGTCCACGACAGCTTCGGCATCGCTGAGGGGCTGATGACGACCGTGCACGCCATGACCGCCACCCAGTTGACGGTTGACGGGCCGTCGCGTGGTGGGAAAGATTGGCGCGGCGGCCGCGCCGCGTCCGAGAATATTATCCCTTCCTCCACGGGGGCAGCGAAGGCTGTCGGCAAGGTCATCCCGTCGCTGAACGGTAAGCTGACTGGCATGGCGTTCCGCGTGCCCACCCCCGACGTGTCTGTAGTGGACTTGACTTGCAGGCTAGACAAACCCGCCAAGATGGACGACATCGTGGCGAAGATCAAGGAGGCTGCCGCGGGCCCCATGGAGGGGATCCTCGGCTTCACCGACGAGGAAGTCGTGTCCACCGACTTCGTTTCTTGTCCGTTCTCTTCGATCTTCGACAAGTCCGCGTGCATCGCGCTGAACGACACGTTCGTGAAGCTGATCTCGTGGTACGACAACGAGTGGGGCTACTCGAACCGCCTGGTCAACCTGGCGTGCCACATGGCAGTGATCGACGGGGCCGTGCCGCCCGCCGCGAAGATCGTAAGCATCAAGGCGCGCGAGATCTTCGACTCGCGGGGGAATCCCACCGTGGAGGTGGACTTGACCACCGACGTGCACATGTTCCGCGCCGCGGTGCCCAGCGGCGCCTCCACTGGTATCTACGAGGCGCTGGAGCTGCGCGACGGCGACAAGACTCGCCTCTTGGGCAAGGGCGTCCTCAAGGCGGTGGACAACGTCAACAACATCATCGCGCCGAAGCTCATCGGCATGGATGTCACTAGGCAGAAGGACATCGACAACCTGATGGTCCAGATCATCGACGGGTCCCAGAATGACTGGGGCTGGTCCAAGTCCAAGGTCGGAGCCAATGCCATCCTGGCGGTCTCGATGGCTGTCTGCCGAGCGGGTGCCGCCTCCATGCAGCTGCCGCTCTATGAGTACATCGCGAACCTGTCGGGGCGGCCCACGGACAGGTTCGTCATGCCAGTGCCGTCGTTCAACGTGATAAACGGCGGCAGCCACGCTGGGAACCGCCTGGCTTGCCAGGAGTTCATGATCCTCCCGATCGGCGCGAGCTCCTTCAAGGAGGCCCTGATCATCGGTGCGGAGGTCTACCACACGCTGAAGAGTTGCATCAAGAAGAAGTACGGCCAGGACGCGTGCAACGTTGGCGACGAGGGCGGCTTTGCGCCCTCCGTGCAGGACAACAACGAGGCCCTGGACGTGCTCATGGACGCCATCGAAAAATCTGGCCACAAGGACAAGGTGAAGATTGGCACAGACGTTGCGGCGTCGGAGTTCTATAAGGAGGGCAAATACGACCTGGACTTCAAGAACCCAGACAGCGACAAGTCTAAGTGGCTCACTGGCTCCGAGATGGCCGCTTACTACATGGAATGGTTCAAGAACTACCCTTTCGTGTCCATCGAGGACCCCTTCGACCAGGACGACTGGGCCGCCTACACCGAGTTTAACAAGGCATGCGGCAAGGATATGCAGATTGTCGGCGACGACCTGCTGGTGACCAACGTCACGCGCATCTCGAAGGCGCTGCAGGAGGACGCGTGCAACGCCCTACTGCTAAAGGTCAATCAGATCGGCTCCATCACCGAGGCCATCGACGCGGCCAACATGTCGATGCGTAACGGCTGGGGCGTGATGGTGTCCCACCGCTCCGGCGAGACCGAGGATTCCTTCATCGCCGACCTGGTCGTCGGCCTCCGCACGGGCGAGATCAAGACTGGCGCGCCTTGCCGGAGCGAGCGCCTCTCGAAGTACAACCAGCTGCTGCGCATCGAGGAGGAGCTCGGCCCCAGGGCCACCTACGCCGGCGCGGACTTCCGCTGCCCGAAGTGAGGCCGCGCCGCCAGGGCCACGGCCCGGGCCCGCGCCCCCACCCGAGAGGGGCGGGAGAGGGGCGGGGTGCAGATGCTGCGTGCGGCCACGCGGGGGCAGAGCCGCGCCCCGCGACGCCGTGCTGTGTCGTCGCAGGCCGTACCATGCCGCGCGCAGGCCCTGCTTGCGGGCCAGGCGCCGCGGCTTCCCCCCCCCCGCGTCCCCCTCCACCATGCATCGTCCTCCCTCCTCCCCGCTTCCCCCTCCCGCCTCCAGCTGTGCCTCGCAAGGGCCGGCCAGGCCCCGTTTTCCCGCCAGGCCCGCCGTTCTGCCGTCGGTACGATCGAAATGGATACTGAAAGAATGGGCACGGAGACCGACAGCACTTCCCGGGCATTTTGGACAGGGTACGCTGCTGGTGTCGCTGCGGAGGTTGTCCATCGAAGACGAAAAGTCCCCTGTCCACAGCGGTCGCTGTCGACTTCGGACAACATTTGCTGTGGGACATCGTGCCCATTTTCTCCGCCATTCCGGGCCTGCCAATGTCAGAGGCCTGGAAACGGCGCTTGGTCGACCCGATGGTGGGGCTGGTCCCAGATGTAGCGTGGCAGGTTGGAGGCTTGGACATCGGCACCGACACCAACACGGGGTGTGTGCCTCCACCAGGGGAAGGTGGAAGATGATCCTGGATTCCGGTGTTGGTGGCAGCCTCTCGGCCACCCGAGAAGCCCGAATATTACCACCATCGCCGAGATCGGGATCATGTCCCCTCGGCGAGGCATACCGCCAATATTGGTGCTGGTGTCAACCGCCAGGCCACCGGACGAGTGCCTTCTCTTGGCGGTGCCTGCTTTGTATCCCGACCTCCAGATCTAAGATCGCTTGAGCATTGATCGACTGGCGGCACGGGGAACCCCGGCCTCTTGCAGACCCTCTCTCTTTTCGCCTCGCCTTTTGAGGCTCGTCCCATTTTGGGATCCCTCCCCAGTGGTAGGCACTCTGCAGGCTGTCGCCCGATGCACAACAGGATCTGCACATCGTCGACGGGATCAGGGTCAGAACGCAGGGATGGATCTCCTCCTCTTTCGCTTCCTCCTCCTCCTCCTCCTCCTCCTCCTCCTCCTCCTCTGGCTCGCATGTGGTCTGGTCTTGCCCTCCTCCTCGCACTCCCCCCTCTCCCGCACTCACTCATTCACTCACTCGCAAACTCACGACATTTTGGTTCGCTGCCGATTGTCCTCCTCCTCCTCCTCCTCCTCCTCCTCCTCCTCCTCCTCCTCCTCCCCTCGGAGGCGGCAGCGGCGGCGGCGACGACGCCTCGAGATGGGGGCTTCGGCCTGGCCCCCGTCCAGGGCCACCGTGGAGCTCCAGGCCACGCTCGCGCAGGAGCGCGCGGAACGTGCCGCGATGCAGGACGCGGGCGGCTCCGTCGCCGCTGCCCGTCATCGTCGATCTACCGATCGACCGTCGTTGTCGACGTGGTCGATCGACCGATCGATGGAGGTTTGAAGAGGCGGCATCGTGACCTTCAGCCTCTCCGTGGGCCCGTCCTCGGGTCCCGGGGTTTGTCGGGCATTGCCCCTGGGAAGAAAGCTGGGGACTGTCGTCGTCGTCGTCGTCGTCGTCGTCGTCGTCGTCGTTGTCGTCGTGTTCGGCGTCGTCGTCCTCGTCGCGGTCGTCGTCGTCGTCGTCGTCGTCGTCGTCGTCGTCGTCGTCGTCGTCGTCGTCGTCGTACTCGTCGTCCTTGTCGCCGTCGTCTTCGTCGTCGTCCTCCTTCTCCTCTTCCTCTTCCTTCTCCTCCTCCTCCGCCTCCTCCTCCTCCTTCTCCTCCCCTTTTCCGAAACATCTTGCGAAGTGCCTTTGAAAATCTCCGGAGGTATCTGGAGGTTGTGAATCTTAGGGAGGGCTTCTCAAAGTGTGCGGTAACCCTCGAGAACGTCAGAATTTCCTCCTGCTCCACCTCTGTCTCCTCTTCCTCCTCTTCGTCCTCTTTCTTCCCCTCCTCCCCTTTTCGGAAACATCTTGAGAAACGCCTTCGAACATCTCCAGAGGTATCTGGAGGTTTTGTGAATCTTAGGGAGGGCTTGTCAAAGTGTGCGGTAACCCTCGAGAACGTCCGAAAACCTCCCCCTTTTTCATCCTCCTCCTCATCCTCCTTTCCCTCCCCCCACCCAAAGCGTTCGAGAATTTTGGCAATCTCCAGAGATCTTTGAAAACCTCTGGAGTCCTCTGGGAGTCTCCGTGAGCTTCCGAAACCTGTCGAAGACGTTAAAAAGATTTTGGGGAAGCCTTCGAAAGCTGTTGTAGGCGGTCAAGAACATTTCCAGGATATTCTTCCTCCTCCTCCTCCTTCTCCTCCTCTGTATCCTGCTTCCCCCCTCGTTCTCCTCCTTCTCCCATCCCCCTCGGAGGAGGGAGAAGGGATGCAAGAGGAAGACAAATTTGCTGGATGGTGCATGCCAATTCGGTCCTCCTGGCGGTCTGCCTGTACGTTGCCTTAGCTGCTCCGCAGGCTTTGGTTGGGTCTTTCACCCCATGCGAAGGGCGACTGGGACTTGCTCTCTTCGGACCTTCGCGCCGCAGCCTGGCGGTGGGAGCGCCTCGCCTGCCCTCATGTGCGAATCATTCTTGCAGGACGCTCGACGAATGTTTCTAAGATTCCCGTGCCGAGGAAAGGAGTTGGAGGAGGAGTGGGAGGAGGAGTAGGTGGAGGAGGAGGAGGAGGAGGAGAAGGAGATGGAGAAGGAGGAAGAGGAGGAGGAGGAGGAGGAGGAGGAGGAGGAGGAGGAGGAGGAGGAGGAGGAGGAGAAGGAGCAGGAGGAGGAGGAGGAGGAGGAGGAGAGGAGGAGGAGGAGGAGGAGGAGGAGGAGGAGGAGGAGAAGAAGGAGGATTTTAATGCCATTTTAGTGCATCTCCAGTTTCGTCGAGGACGCCAGCTGCGGAGGGGCTTACATACGCTGGCCACTCTACTGAGTGATGGAACCAAGGACGAGAGAGAGGAGGAGGACAAGGAGGGGGTGGTGGAGGAGGAGGAGGAGAATGAGGATGAGGATGAGGATGATGATGATGATGCTGATGATGATGATGATGATGATGATGATGAGATGAGGAGGAGGAGGAGGAGGAGGAGGAGGAGGAGGAGGAAGAGGAGGAGGAGGAGGAGGGAGTGGAGGAGGAGGAGTAGGAGGAGGGGGGGTGGATAAGGAGGAGGAGGAGGAGAAGGATGATGATGAGGAGAAGGATGTGGACGATGATGATGATGATGATGATGATGATGATGATGATGATGATGATGATGATGATGATGATGATGATGATGATGATGATGATGATGATGATCAGGAGGAGGAGGAGGAGGAGGAGGAGGAGGAGGATGAGGAGGATGATGATGATGATGATGATGATGATGATGGTTATGATGATGATGATGCTGTGATGATGATGATGATGAGGAGGAGGAGGAGGAGGAGGAGGAGGAGGGCGACGAAGCCATGGTCTTCGCGGCGCCGCGTCCTCTGGCCGGGCCGGCCTCGCCGGCACTCGGAGGAGCGCCTGGAGTCGTTCGTGAGCCGCATGGAGCAGGCCGAGGGTCAGCTGAGGGGGCTCGCGGGCAGGCCAGAGATCGAGGATATCGGGGGTGAGGGATGGTGCTGTTGCTGCGGATGATGTGGACGATGTGGAGGATGGTGCTGATGCTGTCGATGTTGCTGATGATCATCACCGGGGCCTCCAACCGAGACAAATGGAGTACGTCCTGGGGATATCTTGTGATCAACGTACAGCACGCGTGCCGTCGGAACGATGCCCACCCTTGCCAGCACTTGGCGGCTGGCTCATTCGTAAGGTGGGTGGGAGGGGTACGGCGTCGGAGGTGATGCGAGCCTCTATTGAATTCTCCTTTTCCACTCTCTCCTGTCTCCTTTTTTTGCAATTCGCCCTCGTCGCCTCGTCCCCACTCTTTCCTGCTTCCCCCCCTCCCCCCGTTCCTCCGTTGTTTCTTTTTTCGGTTACTCATGGCTGATATGCTGGTTCTCTCTGCGTGCCGCTGTTGTTTTATCTTGTGCTGTATTGAAGGCCATATTGAGTTGCCTTGTGGTGTTCTTGGGGCCACTTGGAATCACAGTCGTCGCCATCTTGAACCATACTTTTGTGGACCCGTGCTCCTGTGCCCACCTGTGCGTCAGCGGCCAGCCTCTTCCGCGCGAGGTCCGCGGCGGCCAGGCCCGCTGCCATTTCAAGGGTGGCGAGGCCACCAGGAGGCCCACGAATCGCCGAGAGCTTCACCAATCGTGCTTACCTTGGCATCCCTTATGGGATCTGGCCCCAGAGGTGCAGAGCCAGTCTAGACAGACTTGGGGATCTTTCGGACCCCCAGGGGCCTGGCTGGCTCTGTTACCCGAGTTGCACACTGGAGTCGCAACCAGAATTGCAACCGGAATTGTCGACGGCGCTCGAGCGGGAGCCTCGAATGGCGAATTGGAGTTTGCCTGGCACTTCCGCCTGCAATTCTGGCCGTGGTGTGCGCGTGCGGCCAGCCAAGGGGGCAGCTCCATGCCAGGGGCCCCTACTGCTCCCTTGTTTGCTCGGCGCGCCCCCCCCAGCGTGCCCCCTCGGCGCAATCCCGGTGCACCCCTCTGGCAGCCCCCTCCCTTGGAGCGCACCCTCCGGGAGAGCCTCTGGCACGCGCTCCCAGGGGCCCCTCCCGCGGCGCACTCCCCCGGCGCGCGCCCCCGGCACGCGCTCCCGGCGCGCCTCGCCAGCGCATCTCCCCGAAAGCGCGGCCCAGGGTGCGGGAATGCGTGGAATTCGCAGCTTTGCGGGTGGACAATTCGTGCCCTGAGCGTGGGGCCATTGTTCCGAGCAGAGGTCCTGGGTCGTGGATTGCACAGCCGCCCTCGCACAGCGTGGGGAAACAAGTAGCGGTCCCGAGGGTGGGTGAGTTGCACGGTCCCTGGGGTGGAATGTGCAGGCTGTCATATGTGCGTTGGACAATCTTGGGGTGCATTGCGGCGTTTCGGCGGCACTTTTGGGCCACCTGGGGACCTCAAGGGACCAGTTTGGGTAATTCTGGGCGCCTGTGTCCGCGCATCCCGCCCTTGGCGTCCCTCGTGGGGGAGCCCCGCGTGAGGGCCGCCGAGGGGGGGGGGCGCGGATAGAAAGCCAGTGCGTGAAACTCCGAATTGTTAGGTTGACTCTTATGGACATGACTACAATGGGTTTGGGCATGACCGTTTCGGTGGTGACGACCATGGCATCATGACGGTGGCGTCCATATTGTCGATGATGAAGACGATGTTGCTATTGCTGCTGGTGACGATGGCGGTGCAGATGACGATGAAGATGAGAACGGCGGTGATGATGATGATGATGATGATGATGATGATGATGATGATGATGATGATGATGATGATGATGATGATGATGATGATGATGATGATGATGATGATGATGGTGGTGGTGATGATGATGATGATGATGATGATGATCATGATGATGATCATGATGATGATGCTGATGATGATGATGATGATGCTGATGCTGCTGCTGATGCTGATGCTGATGATGATCATCCTGTTTATGATGGTGGTGGTGGTTGGAATGGTTATAATGACGGTGGTGGTGATGTTGAGGATGCTGCTGCTGATGGCTGTGGTGATGATGGTGATGCTGATGCTGATGATGGTGATGATGCTGATTATGCTCCTGCTGCTGATGATGATGGTGATGATGAGGATGGTGAAGTTGGATATTGTTTGCGATGCAAATAGTGCATGGCAGTGACTGGCGTGCGTTCGGCGGGGATCCGCACCATCCCGCCAGTGCATTACCGCTGTGCAAGGCACTCTCGGGCCTTGAGCCAATATGGGTGCAGAGGATCAGTCGCGCCGTGGTGAGGTTCAGTGGTCGCGCGCTCCTCCTCTCCTCACTGGAACGCGGGGGTCCTGGTCAGAACGCGCTCCAGGATTGGTCCAGCGGCCGATTGTGAGGGATGAGGAGGGCGGGAATGGGGAGGAAGAGGAGGAGGAGGAGGAGGAGGAGGAGGAGGAGGAGAGGAGGAGGAGGAGGAGGAGGAGGAGGAGGAGGAGACGGAGGAGGAGGAGGAGGAGGAGGAGGAAGAAGAGGAGGAGTGGGAGGAAGAGGAGGATGAGTAGGATGCCCTTTTTCTCCCCAGAAATAGACAAGTCGAACACACCCTACCTTTTTCACACGTGTGGGCTTGGAGAAGGAGGTCGACCGAGCTCAGTGGTCGCAGCCTTTGGAGGCTCCCAGCTTCAAGGAGTGCTTTGGTCGTACCTCGCATTGCTTCACTGCTTGTAGCAGTCTGCGTAGGGTAGAAGGGCAATTTGAACACCCAGCAGCTCTTCAACGTCAAACAAGGTGTCTGCCAAGATGATGATCTGAGCCCTCTGTTCTTCAACGCAGCGTTCGGCACTCAAGCTAATTCTGGGACTTAGGTCCAGTTGTTTGCGCACGCACGGCAGTAAGCTTGAGTAGGGTATTTCTGGTAACGCCTTGTCACATGGCAGGGTTGAGGATTATATCATCATTTGCAAAACACGCTTGAATGAACTGACGATGATCGGGTTGTAATTCAATTCGAAGAAGAACCGTGTCTTCATTTTAGAAGAGGAGCTCGATCCAAGCCACGGCCCGATCTTTATGGATGCTGCAGGTGGTCTCATTGAAGTCGAATGGGGGACACATCCATGTGTACTGTGGCAACAAGTTCCCCATCAACCTTACGGGGATAGGCGGGGCACTTCTCTTGAGCCGTCTGCGTTGCGCATCATATACTCTATTGTGCCACGTTCACTAAGGTTTGCCTCGTCGCCAGCGTGGTCAGTCAGCTGCGATGGGTGGCCTCGCGGCAGTTTCGTTGACGTCTGCCGATGTCGGCAAGCATGCCATCACGCAGAGACACTTGAAAATATGTATTGCCGACTCGGCAAAACTTAACACCAGTGATGTTCTGAAAGGTACAGGCGTGCCCGAGCCAAAATCTGCGTGCTCTTCAATGCCAGTCTGTTCTCCCATGTGTAGATGATTTGTGCAAGCTAACAGGACCTTCGCTCAAAACTGCAGTGCCCTAGCCAGGACGCGTTAGTGCGTCTCGTTGCCAGGTGGAAGGCCAGCGACACGGCCATTGCGAAGCCGCCTGCAATGTCTCATCGGCTGGGGGTGCAGGCCATGCACATCGCGGCACCGGTTTGCAGCTGATGCCTCGATCCTTCCCTGATACTTTATCCGCATCCATGTTCGGACCAGGCTTCGTGCTCGAACGGGGATGGGCGATTTCTGGGGCGCCACCATCCCCGCGGCTGGATCTGCCTCGACCTCTCTCTGTCTCTGTCTCCGTTTCTGGTTCTATTTTGTCTCTGTCTTTTTCTCCCTCCCTTCCTCTCTCTCTGCCTCCTTGTCTCTTTCATTCTCCCTCTCGCCAGCTCCCTCCTTCCCTTATGCCTGACCCCCGACCACCATTTGTTCTTCCACATTCCAAAGTTTTGGGTTATTGCTCTTACTGTCATGTCTCCGCCTCCTCACTCACCGCCCGCCGCCTTCATCACGCACGCTCATACTCATATTCGCTCTTATTCAGATTCACTCAACGCGCGCTCCAGCTCATTCGGATACTCTTAGGGACCCCGTCTTGAACCAACATTACACAGATCGGATGGGGGTGGCCGCTGGTCGGAGCGGCTGCCTCCTCCACTCGGTATGATTGACATAGGGACCGAACAAATGGATCCAGCAGCACCTCCTGTCTATTTTGAATCGGATTCGCTGCCAGTGCTGCCGCGGGCGACTTTCATTTGAGACAGTTAGCCGCTTGCCCAGCAGCGGCAGCTGTCGGTTTGGGACGACATCCGCTGCTGGGCATCGCGCATGTTTTAAAATTCATTTCCCAGATACTCGTGTCCTGTTTTTTCCATTGCGGGGTCCCCAGAAGTCTGGACCCGTTCCCCACGGCAGGTTTTCATCGCGAGTCGTTTTTGACGGTCCTCCGGCCTGGCAAAGGCCCCGAGAGGCCGCAAACGACGACGACCACCGTCTTGATTTTCCGATGCGGTAGATGTCTGTGTTCGGGTGCGCCAGTCCACGGCCCCTCCTCGATCCTTCTGCTGAGGAGCAGCTGGTTACCATCTCGCACAGCCTGACGCAGGCGGAGTCCAAGGCAAGGGTGCAGCAGGCGCTTCTCGAGCAGCAGGAGCGCCGCTCGGGTCAGTCTGCGGCTGCACGACGACACGACTGCGGCGCCGCCGCCGACGCCGCCGCCGACGACGACGACGACGGCAACAACGACGACGTCAAGTTCGACGACGACGGCGACGACTACGACGACGACGACGCCGCCGCCGCCGCCTTCGCCGCCGCCGCTCCCGAAGGCCCTAGGAAGCCTTCCAGGGCATACTCGATGGCCCCCCGGGAGGCTTCCGATGTCTTCCCCGAGGCCGCCTTGGGAGCCTTCGAGATGCCTCTGAGGGCACCCAGGGGGCCCCCAGGGGGGGCCCTCCGGGAGGCACCTCGGGGGCCCCCCAAGGGGGCCTCCCAGGAAGCTTTCGCAAACCCTTCCCGAAAGCTCCCCGAGCGGCCGCTCCCTCTGAGATCCGACGTCTCGGGAAAGTTGCAACCCCGTGAACAATCACGACTGGAGCCCAAGCTGGCATTCTGCAGCGCAAGCTTTCGAGCCAGATCGATCTGTGAGGGCCCCGTGGCCCGAGCCTCGGCGAACACGCCCCGGCCCGAAATAAAACATCGAGACGCCAGGATCTCATGGCCGAGGGGCCTTCGAGAGGCGTCCAGGCCCCCTCCCGGGGGGGCCCTCCTCCTCCTCCTCCTCCTCCTCCTCCTCCTCCTCCTCCTCCTCCCCCTCCTCCTCTCCTTCTCCTTCTCCTTCTCCTCCTCCTCCTCCTCCTCGTCCTCCTCCTCCTCCTCCTCCCTCTCCTCCTCCTCCTCCTCCTCCTCCTCCTCCTCCTCCTCCTCCTCCTCCTCCTCCTCCTCCTCCTCCTCCTCCTCCTCCGCCAGGCCATGGGGGCGATCCGCCCGCGGCGCCACGGTGCTCCCACCCCCGGGCCTCCCCCACGGGAGGCTTCCGCACGCCCTCCTCGGCAGCCTCCCCCCGAGGGGCCGCCTCCTCGCGGGCCCGCCCAGCTCTGCGCGGCGGCGGCGCGGCGGCGGCCGCCCCCGAGGAGGCGGGCCGCGAGCTGGAGAGGCAGGCGCTGGAGGAGCTCGTGCGGGCGCTGCTGGCCGAGGAGACGGGCTCCCGCAGGGCGGAGCAGGCGTCGATGCAGGAGCGCCGTGGGGCGGGGGGGGGCAGGAGCGCCGTGGGGCGGGGGGGGGGGAGCTGCCGCCGTCGCGGAGGGGCCAGGGGCACCGACAGGAGGGGATAGACGCACGTGATCGTTTTTTTGTTCGTTGTTTTGCCGATCGGCGCGGGCCCTCGACCCCCCCCCTCCCCCCTCCATGGAGCAGATCTTGGCTGTTTTTGGCGCCTGTTTCGAGCGGATGGGGTCCCCCCCAGAGGACGCACTGCTGCAAACAGTGGCATTAAGCAGAGGCCCGGAGCCAGAGCCCCCCCCCCCTCCCCCCCCGTTTTCGCCCAATGTCGAAACGCCGAATCAGAAAACGTTCGCCATGCATAGGCATAGGGGGGGCAGGGATTGGGAGGACTGCCTGGGTCGCAAATCGTGGGAGCCTTTGTGTACCCTCAGAGTCACGTCTTCGAAGTGCGTTCGAGTCGACTCGCGTCTGGTGGTCGATGAGTGCGCGCCGATTTGGCGTCGCTCAGCCTCGAGTTATCGTCGATTCGCGTCGATTTAGCGCCGTGGACAGCGACAAACTGCGCGCGCCCGGGAGCAAGCTACATGCAGGAGATTGCAGCTACACGTTTCCCGTTCTCAGCTGCCCGCTGAAAGCGTATGGCAGCTACGCGCTGCGCGTGCCGAGAGTGTCGTCGCGCGTGTGTGGGTGTGCATGAAGATGTGCTCGTTTGGTGTGTGAACATGTTCCTGGCGGCCTCGATGCTGATGTCTCTGTGCACGTTGTTGTTCAGCAGTTCTCGGCTCAAGGGTCTCCACACGTTTCTTTCCATAAGTTTCTGCATTTCAGCGCCATCCCTATGTTCACGTTATGGAGCGCCTTGGGCTCGAAGTGCCACGCCCGCAAGGGGCCTGGCGTTCGACGCGGTCCACGGGCTCGTCGATCTTCGCTTCGTGGCCGTGTTCGACGGCGCTTCGGGGGTGGCGCCCAGGTTCTGCCCAGAGGCCCTCTCGGAAGACATGTGCGTGGCGGGCGAAACTCTCCTCGGCACCTGCCCTTGCGGCGCCGCCGCAGTCTTCAAGGACGGCGCGGTCGAGCCCGATCGTTCTCGCATGGCGTGCGAGAAGTTGGGTGGCTGCGCTAAAAGCCATGAGGGGCGCGTGCTCGTGCACAGGGGTGGGTTTTCCAAGAAATGGACGGCCAAGGCTTCGCCAGCGAGGCGCTCTTCGGCGAGGCGTGGATCTAGCGACCTTGGGTCACTCGAGGAGGTTCGTGCCCCTCTTGTCGGCGCCATGGGCCCTGGTGCCGTGTTACCTCCAGACGGCGCGCCTGCCTTCTGTTTCGCGGCCGAAGAAATCGGCGCGCGTGTCCTCTCATGAGTGAACCTCCAGAGATCGGCGTGCCGATTCTCTCAGGAATGCTCACGCCCGTCACCAGGCTGCTGAAAAAATCAAGCTGTCGCGGGAGATGGTTACCATGTTAGGCCGTCATTGCCGCGGCGAAGGGCCAACTGTCGAGGAGACGAAAGAGTATTTCAAGCTCGTGGCAGCAGCGTCGAATCGACGCGAGGGCGCACCAACAACACTACGCCGAGTCGGCAACGTCGGCCGCCACAACACCACTGAACCCAATTATGCTGTGCAGACATCGGCGGGCGCAGCCCTTCTGAGGCGGTCCGGCTTAGTAAACGTGCTTGATGCGCTGCGTCGGTGCAGGGAGGCGTTGGCTAGCGGCGCGGTCCAGATGGCCCTGCTGGAGGTCTTCCGCGCGGGGCTGTGTGAATGTGCCCAGGCTTACAGGAATACGTTGTCTGCCAGTCACCCATGATTCCATATGGCTATTCCGTATGATACCGCGCAGGCTCACTGGAGCAGCTTACTCGGCATTTTGCCATAGAGACCGATGCCACTTCCGCAGCCTGGCGGAGAGGTCGCGCACAAATGGGGCGCGCGCGGCAGAAACGATGGTTGTTTCGATGTGTCTCCCGCGCTCTCCCTCATGATCCTTCTCTCTCTCTCTGTTTCTGTCTCTATCTTCGTCCCTGTCTCTCTGTCTGTCTATCTGTCTGTCTGTCTGTTTTTTTTTTTTTGTTTTGTTGTTGCTTTTCTCTCTCTGACTCTCTGGCTCTCTGGCTCTCTGTCTCTCTCTCTCTCTCTCTCCCCTTTTTTTTTTTTTCTCTCTCTCTCTCTCTTTCTGTTTTTTTGCTATCCGAACATCTTTTCGTTTCGGTGCTTCGCGTGCTTGCGCGGCCACATAAACGCTGCGCTTGTCGGAGGCGACAAAAGAGGAGGAGAAGGTTGACGAGAAAAAAGGGGAAGGATGAGGAGAAGGAGGAAGAAGAGGAGGAGGAGGAGGAAGGGAATACAGGGACGAATGGGGGAGGAAGGCGACCCTTCGGTTTGGGAAAACCGAGGGGTCCGGCCGCAACTTTGCAACGGTTTCAATGATTGGGGTCGGGGCGTTTTCAACTCATGGTTTTCGCCGTGCTGCCGCGCACATTCGTCTTTCACGTTCCCAACAGCTTTAGAAATGGAAGGTGGTCGTCTCCTAAATGTGGCTCTCGCCGTGCTGCGGCGCGCATTCGTCTTCAACGTCTGCAATAGCTTGAAGGATGGAGGGTGGGTCGTTTCCAAAACCTGGCTCTCGCCATGTTGCCGGGCGCATTCGATGTGAACGATTGCAGCACTGCCAAGAGTCCGCAGGACTGAAGTCCCAGGACCGGTGTTATGGTTGGATCAGGACGCAACCATCGACTTGAATCGCGGTGTTGAAATTCTGGCACGAACTTGGATTGTCAGGACGCAGCGGCCGCGTTGATTCGCGGCGTTGAAGGTCCAGCATAAGTGTTTTGGCAGGATTGAGATTGTCAGATTTTTTTATATAAAAAAGTTGTAGAGGCCTATAAAGATGGAGCTTGAAAGGTGTGTTTTGTTGCAGCAGCGTTGATGCCTCTTGGGTTTTTTTTCACAACTCCTCCCGAAGCCGGTGTTTGTCATTGGCACAGCTTCGTGGCATTGGTGTCTGTCAGACGTTTCGTCTCCTCTTCCTTCTCCTCCCCCTCCTCCTGCTGGTCCTCCTCCTCCTCCCCTGCTCCCGTTTCCGCTCCGTCTCCCAGTTCTTGTCCTCCGGTTGGCCCCTTACGCTCAGGAATGTTTGCTCATTGTTGTCGTGCCGCTGGTTCTTGTCTACCACGCTTTGGGCGCCACGCGCCGATCACGTCCTCCGCTACCCTTGCATCAACTCGCCGGTTTTTTCAAAGCCTCCCGTCCCACGCGGCAGAGCAACACCCCATCAGCTTGCAAGGCGCAGCTCGTCGCAGGGGGCGCCGCCGTGACACGCTAATCAAAAATCGACCATCGTAGTTTGACGTCCGGCGGTTTGATTTTTCCGAGGCATGGCCCCCACACCTCTCGACCTTCTCTTCGGCTGGTTTTTTACCCCAGGCTGCTTTTCGTCGGTCCCAGTGCGCGGAACTGGCTTCCGAAGGTCCGCAATTTCTAACAAAATTTGCCCTCTCGATTTTTCCGGGCCGTCAGATGTCTGGGCAGTCCCCGTCCCAATCCACCTCCCTCCTCTTCATCCTCCTTCTCTTCCTCTTCTCATCTCTTCCTCCTTCTCCTCCTCCTCCTTCCTGGCCATCGCCGAGGAGCGTCTCGACGCCATCGAG